GAGGCGCTGGGGTCCTGTCCAGGAGCCCGCAGGCTGCATGACCATTGCACATGGCGCCCCAGCCCGTGGCAGAGGCATCTGTGGAGACGACAACATGCCTGGAAACTCGTTCTAGGGGAACTCCGGCCCGTAGAAAGCTGAGGTTCCGCCACGGGGTGAAGGTCTGACGGCAGGTCGGAGTTATTGGAACTCTGAGCGTACCGCGATGCCATGCCCACCTCGGGACCCGATCGCGAAGCCACAGCTGAAGCGGTCTCATATGAAGCAATCCGAGTGGCGTTGCCGCGGCTGCGGATGCCATATGCCCCAGGAGCCTCTGAAAAAGTTTCAGTGGGACCGCACTCTTGCCCTCGAACTGTCGAAGACAAGTCAGCAGTGAGTGTGCGCGCTCGCTCGTAAGCTGCGCGGACATGGCGACCGAGTCTATCTCCATACCGAGAAAAGAGATCCTCTGCACGGGGCAAAGTTTGCTCTTCTTCCAGTTGACCCGAAGGCCCAGACGGGCTAGGTGCCGGAGCACAAGGTCTCTGTGTTCCTGGTCTGATCTCGAGAGTGAGTTAATATTAGCCAGTCGTCGAGATAATTCAGGATGCGAACCCCGTGTTCGCGTAGGGGAACAAGGGCTGCCTCGACGACCTTCGTAAAGACGCGAGGAGACAGAGCCAACCCGAATGGGAGAACCGCGTACTGGTATGCCTGCCCCTCGAAAGCAAACCGAAGAAACGGTCTGTGTCGAGGTAAAATGGAGACATGAAAGTAGGCGTCCTTCAGGTCTATCGCTGCAAACCAATCCTTTGGCCTCACGCATTCGAAAATGCGTTTGGCCGTGAGCATCTTGAACGGCAGCCTGTGAAGGGAGCGGTTCAGGACGCGCAAGTCCAGGATTGGCCGTAACCCACCGGTTTTCTTGGGGACAATAAAGTAGGGGCTGTAGAACCCTGACCTCATCTCGGCTGGAGGGACAGCCTCGATTGCACCCTTCGCCAGCAGGGTAGCAACCTCCGCTCTCATGATCGGGGCATTGCCACCGACCATAGTAAAGCGGACTCCCCTGAAGCGGGGAGGAGACCGTGCGAACTGAATCGCATAGCCGAGCCTGATAGGGACAGATTGGGGAGCTCTAACCAAGCCCCCAAAAACTGATCCAGCGGAATCATCCGAGCCACAGGCGTCCCCCCGGAGGGGCAGCGAGGCGGAGTGACCGGCACAGGCAAGGGTGGCATAGCGGCCCTGAGCGTGTGCACAGCCAAGCTCCGCGCCCTGACAGAGGAGACCAGGGAAGGACCAGCGTTCCACGGGGGTCTGCTCTGCCAGGGGTCTGGCGATAGAGGGGGATGAGAGTGGTGTGGTCCGGGGACGGCACGCACTGTCATCCTCGCCCTCAGAGACAGAGGAGGACGAGAGTGGCGAGGCACGGGGGCGTCGCGCACTGTCATCCGGCTCTGTGTGCTCAGTGATGGACATTTCGGTTCTTTCTTTAACCACATTAGGGTGCTGCCCACCCGTGGGTGAGCAGCGGGGAGTGGAGAACAAAAGATTCTCCCCCGGCCCTCCACCGGGGGAAGGAGGGGGCCTGCAACCGCCTCCTGGGAAAAAACCGACACCATCACTGAGCAGCCCGTCTCAGGAGCGCCGCTTGGCCTGGCGTTTAGCGGGGCGCGGGGCCTGAGGGGGCTGGGGCGCCTTCCTGCGGCTTCCTCCACGACGCGGCCCGGGTGAAGGCTGCAGCTGGGGCCGTGCGGGAGGGGCGGGAGCCACAGGAGGGCGCCCTCGGCGGCGAGCAGGCTGAGGCGTCTGTGCCGACGGCTGGGTGGAGGCAGCAGCTGGCCGTCGGGGCAGAATGTGTTTAATCGCCTCAGACTGCTTCTGTGCGGTTGAAAACTGCTGGGCGAAGTCTTCAACCGCTCCGCCGAAGAGGCCGGCCTGGGATATGGGGGCGTCGAGCAGACGAGTCCGCTCAACGTCCCGCATATCGGCCAGGTTCAGCCAAAGGTGACGCTCCTGGACCACATTAGTGGCCATCACCTGACCCAGGGAGCGTGAGGCCACTTTCGTCGCCCGGAGAGCGAGATCAGTGGCGGCACGCAGTTCGTCAAACGTCCCTGGGTCAGTCCTGCCCTCGTGCATGTCTCTGAGCAGCTGGGCCTGGTAGACCTGCAAGGTGCTCATCGCATGCAGGGCAGCAGCCGCCTGTCCTGCAGCTCTGTGAGACCTCGCCACCATAGATGATGAGAATCTACAGGCCTTGGACGGGTGCTTAGGATTGCCACGAGAGGAGGCGCTCTGAGGACACAGTTGCATCGCAACAGAGCGCTCCACCGGGGGAATCCCAGTGTACCCATGGACAGCTGCGCCATCGAGGGGAGGAAAGGCGGAGAAAGCTGACGAGCGTTCACGGGAGGTCAAAGGAGCCTTCCATGATCTCGACAGCTCCTCATGCAGCTCCGGGAAGAAAGGAATTGGGGTTGGCTGAGGCCGTGAGGCGGCAGCCGCACCCAAAAACCAATCGTCCAGCCGCGAGCGCTCAGGGCAGGGCGGAGGGTTTCACTCTAGCCCGATGCTCACGGCTGCCCGGGACAGCATGGCTGTCATCTCAGGATCCGACACGGGCAACGCTGGGACTCCCGAAGGAGGCAACGCAGCCGCATCCTCACTTCCCGAAGACTCAAGCCCACCTTGTGATGCCGCGATCGACATCGTGTCATCCTCTGGAGCGCCGAATGAAACACGCAGGGCTTCCGAAGAAGAGCCCGCCTGAATCACCGCGGCACTCGCGGGTTGCAACACAGCGGAGGGGGGCGTGGTCCGAGGACGCATCGTCGGATTGCTCCACACCGTCACCCTCAGATCACCCTGTCCCCCAGCCGAACTACCACCTCTCGTGGAGGAAGCAGAACGGGTGGTGGACGCGGGGACTCTCACTGATAGATCATTGAGTCTTAATCTTAGTGTTGCGATGGTCATGTTCCCACAGAAGGAACATGAGTCATCCACGAGCGCTGCCTTAGCGTGTTCAAAGCCCAGACACACAAAGCAGCGCTCGTGCCCATCAGAAGACGACAGATAACGACCGCAACCAGAAGAACATGGGCGAGACATCTTTAAAAAGACGTGCCACGTGCAGCTCTTTTAGGAGAGGAAAAACTCTGCAATGCTGAGGCGACCAGGGAGAAAACACAAAGTCAGGCAGACCACTGCACAGATCGCAGGCAATGTGAAGACTCGCTGGGTACCGCCGTCACACCAACACTGGAGAGTTCGCTCGTCTCGAAGAGGTGAGTCACTTGTAAACTCAGGTCTTGTGGCTGTGGAGTGAAGAGGTTCTCTTGGCTCCAAAGCGAAAACATGATCTGCTGTTGCAGGTGTCTCTCCTTAAATACTCACGCGGTGAGGCGGAGATACATTATGCAAATTCCGCAGACCCATGGCATTTCTTTGCCATTGGCTCGTTTTTTAATACTCGAAGAGGACTGGCTTTCTGGCGAAACCCCCATTCTCCGTCATCCGACGTAACTCGGAGTGACTACGAAAGGGAACCTGAAAGTCTCTCAACTTAAAGAAAATGAAACCAAGACAAAAATCACTTAATCAGGAATTAACAAATAAACATAGAAAATAATCAAAGTTGACAATTATAAAATTTCAGAGAAAACCTGAAAGTCTCTCAACTTAAAGAAAATGAAACCAAGACAAAAATCACTTAATCAGGAATTAACAAATAAACATAGAAAATAATCAAAGTTGACAATTATAAAATTTCAGAGAAAACCTGAAAGTCTCTCAACTTAAAGAAAATGAAACCAAGACAAAATCACTTAAATAAACAAAAAAAAACAAATTGACAATTACAAAGTTTCAGAGAAACCTGAAAATCTTCATCAAAACAAAAGAAATATGAAACAAAATCATTTAATCATAAGTCAACTAATAAACTAGACCCCACTATCCACACACACACACATACATACTAATAAGCACGGGCAAACCACATAAGGACAATGCTATCCTTGTGTCACACTGAGTCAAATACAACCCTGCCAGATACCCAGTTGGACAACAGATCTGACGCTGAACGGCGCGTAAAGACGTTCAGCTCCGGGGTTGCGCTCATAAAATTACTTGTGGACAGTTGATGATAGAAACAGAAGTTGGTTGAGACAAAACAGCAGCACGGCCAGGAAGGGAGTGGCTAGTGCAGATATCAGCGCGAACGAAGTGGTTTACAACCACGTCAGGGAGCGTCGCACCAATGCACCAATAGTGCCGATAGTACGGCTACACCGAGCCAGTAACAAAGCTCAACCCGGTTCCGTTACAGGAAGGATCGAGTTTAACAGGTAGACACTGTCGATTTGCTGTGACTGCACCGCCGGACATGAAATAATTCGGAGCGGAAATGTGCGTCTGACAACAACAAGTCAGTCTCGAGGGGGCCAACCCCCCTGCCTATAAAGCATGCCGTTAAACCCTGATTGGTCCAAAAAGAGTGTGTAATTAGACCCATTGTGACTAATCAACCTGCTACATGAACATAAGAAGGAATGTTGTTTTAACCGCAGAAAGGCATCAGTACAAGCCGTTTTTCAAGTTCAAATCCGACCATGTTAATCTACTAACTCTCCTGACTGCTTTGTCGGACAAAATGGCGGATGGCGAAGTATGATTGGTCAGATCACCTGTCAATCAAGCTCCCTGCGAAGGGTCAATTAGGCCTACTGTTTGTTTGAACTTGGGTTGCTGTTATTTCCGTGGGTATATAACCCCGGTGGCGTAGTCGGGACTAGTGTGGCAATAGGACGCCACGGTTACATAGAGAATATTCTCATTTGGAAGGAAGTGTTGTTCCTACAGTAAGATTACATTGTAGTGGAAAGTTTTACAGGAACAAGCACCACTCACATTTTCTCCACATTATAGGCCATTGTAGTAAGGGATATGAGATTGTGCTACATGTTTACTTAGATCATAATAAATGAATAAAGTGTGTGAAAGGTTTGATATTGTGTAGTTTGTGATCCTCCATCAGCAGCTGCAGTTTCTCTCAGCTGTATCAGTGCAGTCACTGTGACGTCTGACTGACAGAGGTTTTTGTACGACTCTTTATCACTGTGTGAACACATAACTATTATGATAACTCTGACAGTAATAATCTCCTGTATCTTCAGTCTGGACTCCACTGATGGTCAGAGTAAAATCACTGCCAGATCCACTGCCACTGAATCTAGATGGAGTTCCAGTATAAAGGGTTGTTGCATAATATATGAGGAGTTTAGGAGCTTCTCCAGGTTTCTGTGAGTACCAGTGCATACAAGTATATGAACCTGGACAGGAATTGCTCACTACTGTGTTTGTTTTGCAGTTTATAGAGACTGATTCACCAATTTGAACCGTTTTTACAGAAGGAGTCTGAGTCACAGTCACCTGTCCACTGAAACCTGTTAGAAAAATGTATGTAAAAAAAATGTATTTGTAACACTCATTGTTATTAATATTATAATAATTTAATGTAAACAGTTCTTTAAAATGTTTACCTTGAACAAATATACAGAGAGTCCAGATGAAGATGATGATGTTGTTCATAGTTGTAGTTTAGTCTTGTGTGATGATGAAGAGTGTGTGTGTTCTGCTCTCAGTCATGAAGTGTTAAACTCACAGCACTATAAACACTCTCAGAGCACTGAAGCATGTGCTGACAATGCAAAGAAGTGGGCAGGATTTACAACAGCTTGTGCTGAGAACAAACTCATATACACTAGAGTTACACAATCATGACTTTATTTAGTATGTTTATTGTGACTCCTGAGACACTGAGGATGTGCAGATGAACGTCCATCTCTGTGTCCATATTCAGTCATGTGACCATCATCACTGCTACACTTCCACTAGATGAAGCGCCATCACTAAAGTAAGATCATGAATCATGAGTGTGTTCAGAAAGTATCAGGACTGATTGTGAATCTCTAATCAGAGTTCATGGTGTCACTCCATCTATCATGAAGCCTCATGTGTGTCTGAAATCATCAGATGGAGAAGAAACAGGCTGTTAAAGATGGACACATATTAGAGCTTGTTCACGTTTCATGATCTTGTGTGGAGATTCAGAACCAGTCCAGATACTTTTATAACACACCTTGAATATGAAAACATGCTTGACTGTGTAGAACATGCAAAACACCTTTTATATCTTCATTGTCACACTTTCTATTGACTTTGGCTCTAATATTCAATAAAGTCATTATTTGAACAGATTCTCACTGAAGATTGAAGTGTGAAGCTGCAGGTTTTTCTGTGAATCATGATGATTGATCTGCATATGAAGAACAGAAGCATCATTATGAGAAACTCCACAACATCATCCATGATCAAAGAGGTCAAAGGTCACCTCAGAGGTCACAGCTCATCACATATATTTCTTTAAACAGTGTTATATCAGAAAGCATTTAGTCAAATCTGAATGAGTGAGTGTTGAGAAGAGCTGAGGATCTTCTAATATCAGTGTGTTGAAGTGTTGTTTCTCTCTCTCTGCTGGAGTGTGTGTTCACTCGAGTGGAATAGAGGTTTTTGTACGAGCGTTTCATTAGATTGTATCACTGTGGTACACATTCGGTGGAGGAACTAAACTGGTGATCGGTAAGTCTGTCGATTTAATCACCTAATAAAAAAATACAATTTAGATTTCAGAAAGTGTTTTACAGTTGAAACAAGAACAACATTTAATAATAATGATGATTATTAGATATTGTGGTAAACCTGTACCTGAAGCCTTTTATTATAATGCATTATAAAGGTTTTCATAATGTATGTTATAATGCAATATATATTTCTATAAATTATTGTAACCAAAGTTAAAATGTATTATAATACTTAAAAACTTTTTGTTTCATCTGAAATGAGTTTTAAAGTATTATAATTTCTTAAGTTGTAACAATGAATAGATAATATTATATTAAAACCTTAGTTACAATTATTGATGAGATCATACATGCATTATAATGTGTAAAACAATAAGTAATGCACTAAATACTTTTATAATGCAATATGTATTAAAGGCTTTAATTAAAGAGTTACTGATATTTTTGTATAATTATTTAATCTAAAACAATGATGTTAAGAATAGCATTATTCCTTTCAACCAAAAAAAAAAGAAATACAATTCTAAACATATTTCCATAATGTGTCTCACTATGAGTTTATTCAGTTTATTACAGTTTTGTTTTCCCTTCATTTATTTCTACACTGAGTTCATATTTAGTTCATCTTTTATTGTAGAAATCATACATGTAAAAAGAGATTTGACATCAGAATGTAAATGTTGCTACTTTCTGTAGTTCAGTCAATGATACTGAATCTCTTTTGCTCATGTTGTGCTTATAATTCAGTGCTTTATAATATTCTGTATGATTCAATTGTGTTTTAACTCTGTTTGAAATTGAGTTACATTTTCAGTTCAGGTGAATATCTCAAAATGTAAGATATTTATGTTCAGAGACAGAGTGAATAATTGCTGGAATTAAAGCAGTCAGATCGGCCTGATAATAGATAATATGTGTTATAACTGCTGTTACACTTATTGATTAGATCATACATGCATTTTCATGTATATAGCAATGCATAATTATAACTTTTATAATGCAATATGTATGAAAGCTTTAAATAAAGTGTTACTGATATTGTTTTATAATTATTTAATCTAAAACTAGAACAGCATTACTCCTATGCTGTGAATGTGCAGTGCAGTGTGTTGTGTGTGTGTTTGTGAATGTGTTGTGTTTGTCTCCTGCAGCTGGTCCCACAGTGAAGCCCTCAGTGTCTCTGCTGCCGCCCTCTTCTCTGCAGATCTCTGGAGACTCAGCCGCACTGCTCTGCCTGCTCAGCTCTTACTCTCCACAGGGGGCGCTGGTGAGCTGGACACTGGACGGGTCAGAGGTCACCGAGGGGGTTCTGACCAGCGCAGAGAGCCAGCAGGACGGCCGCTACAGCCGCAGTAGCGTCCTGACCCTCAGCAAAGCACGCTGGGAAGAGGGAGAGCTGTACGTCTGCAGAGTAACACATGATGGAGCTCCTCATGAGGTCTCGTTCCACAAGAGCTCTGAGTGCTGATGTTTCTCTCCTGAAGATGAGCCGTATCTGAGTGTCCTGTGTCAGGCAGGATTCACATGAGTCTAGTGCTGCAGCTGTAGTGCTTTACAACTCCATACTGAAACAGTGTGTGTGTGTGTGTGTGTGTGTGTGTGTGTGAACTTTCAATCTGCTGTGTTTGCTGCAACATTCAATAAAGCTTCTCAACAAGTTCACTCTGTGTCTGACAACATCATTCAACTAACAGATGAAGATGCAGGAGCTTTTCAGAAGGTTGATGTCGCAGTAAATGTCAAATAAAGCTCTTGGGGTTTGAACATGGTCTCTGGAGACAGAGCTGCTCTATTCTGAGAGATCACAATCACTTCACCCTGACAATGCAAATGGGCTTTTCAGTCTCACTCTCTGATTGGTTGCATGATCTGGACTGGAACACAACAGTTTCACTTCTGCAAAAGAAGCTGCTGGTATTTAAATAATAAAAATAATTTAAGTGACTGAATGCAGTGTGTTCAGTTTGATTGACAGGGATCATATATTACACCTAAAACATGATGATCATATTAAAACACTGACTCATTCTCTTCATAAACACAAGATTGTGTTGATTGTAATGATATAGTGTTATTAGTGTTTGAAAACACAATCATAAATCATTCTTCAAACCTGGACTAAACACTGCCAGAGTCAAGAGGAAGATGATGCTGAAAGTCATGTTTGTTGGTTGATGAAGAAGAGCTCTTGATCATGTCATGTTCAGTTCATAGAGCTATAAACACATGCAGAGTGAAGCATGTGCTGATCATATAAAACACCCTCTGAATGCAAAAGCTGCTGTAGACTGTGAGCTCACGACGAGACCGAAGAGAGATCAGGACGAGATACAGACTCACCTCAGACTCATCAGAGTCAAACAGCTTTACTGACAGGGTTAAAGAACGGCTTTACATGGCCGAAGCACAGTCACATTAAATATACTCACATACACACTTACACACAAATACACACAGTTAAAAATATATATGGAGTTCAGTCATGAAACTCTAGATCAGTGGTTCCTGGTCCTGGAGTATCGCCTACAGTGGCTACGTTTACATGCACAACTTTTGTTGTTCTGAATGTAGTGTTTACATGAACGCTAAACACGCGATCGGGTTAATGCGGTTTATATGTCACAGGCTTCAAATCGGAATAGATTTTTTTTTACATGCGCACACGAGTTTCCCGCTGTTTGCACATAATAACTATTCTCCTACATTGGCTACATGTACATGCAACCAAATAATCCGTTAGTAGACAGGAATGAATAGTTATGATTATTGGATTAGGATGGTGACTCTAGAGTCTGGGTCCGGTTACTATACCTGGATACTTCATTTGCATGCGTTGTATCTCCACAGCACAAGACAAAACAGGAGTGTCAGGGCTCTGTCACAAAACCAAGAAATAGAGACAGAAGTGACAGAACCCTGACAGATTGATTATTTTGCACTCCTGACATAAACTAAGAAATGAATGTCACTGCAAACCAGTTTTATCATAAACAGTGGTCAAATCTCGAAGTTGGAGCCTTTAATCTTTCTAATGATACTCAGTTTGTGCAGATCAAGTAAGAGTGTGATGTTTTAATGGGCAGTGAATGTTGAACAACAATAATCTGGGCCAGTCGTCGATCTTTGAACCTAAAGGGATTAAATAAATTTGTTTTTTGTTAGTTATTTGATGCTATAAAAACGGGTGTGACATCATGATTGACAGCTGAGATTGACAGCTTCTCTGTTTTTCAGAGGCTTTGTGACAAGTGCTTTATATTCAAAAGTTGTGACAACAAAATTTGATTTCTTGAATAATCATTTAATATAGTTAGGGTTATTTTATATTATTTTAAGATATGTATGTAAATAATTTAATTTCTGTTCACTGAAATACCGCTGATTCAAACATAGCAACCACTGTGTCAAAAATAAAAGAAACTTGACTGTAAAACAACCAGTCAGTGTAATTCAGTGTGCTCCATGGGGTGGACCGTATCATTTCAAACCAGTCCATAAAGACAGGTATAATTTCAAGGGTGCACTGGCACTCTTTAGAAGAGGCCCTTGGAAGTTACTCAAGAGGGCACAAACAGTTGATTGACAGAGCCCACTAGTGTCATTGGTAAGACCCTATCGAATATGTGATACTCTTTGATCCTCCTGATGGTACGCTCAACATGAATGCGAAGTCTGGCTATGGCTTGTGTCTGTCTCACCTCTTCTTGGCTGAAATGTCCACTTGGGCCTAAAAAGGGTGGGATCACAAGGGAGACATTGATTTCAGTGAGAAGGTCCTTGATGAGAAATCCTTTATCAGCCATGACCTCATCGCCTTCCTCAAGTAGACACAGATCCCTGATTCTCTTGTGATCTCCTTTGTCAGATATCGAACCTGTATACAGGTCACTGACACATGTGACTAAACCTGAGGGAAAGATGCCAACTAGGCCCTTAAATGTGGTGTTACCTTAGTAGTGAGAGTAGATTTCAGACTTGAGAACTTTTGAACTAGGTCTTTGCACATGTATTTCTAATATAACTCTTGTAAGTGGGAAAGTGCTTTGGAAACAAGGAGGCATGAGCTCGTTAACAGTTTCTCTCGAAGGCCAAATTGGAAGTGATCCTAACATGAAATGTCGATAGTTTGCCCAGGTTACACAGACCCTGCTTACAGTTGACTGACACATCAAAGCGCACTGCAAGGTCCTGTTCAGGAAAACCTTGCCTAAGACGACATTGGAATAGAAAAAACTGGTCAATGACGGCCAGTTTAGGAATGCTAAACCCCTGCCTTACAATTTCCCCGTCGGCTTGCCTTATTCTCTGTGCCTGACTCCACTCTACCATGTTTTCTGCAGTAGGCTGTAGGGCCATAAACACTGCTTCCAGTGTGTTGTAATCGGGAAAGCCTGTGAAAAACATGATGTTCTTATCATCGCCTTGGAATCTTGAAAGGAGAAACTGCTTGGTTTGAAGATGTGCAATAATTCTGCTTGATCGTTGATGATCTTGCACTGAAAAAAATGATACTTTGGACCAACCTAAAAAATTACTGTAATTTGTTACAACTAAATTTATTAGTCTTTCTCAAGCTATATTTTTGATTTGGTTTAAACTTTAGATTTTAATTTAATAGCAATCAAAATAGTTATTCTGCTCAACAAAAAGTTAAATGACTCTGAAGCATTGTTAAAGTTAATGAGATAATTAAGTGATTAATTGAGTGATGATTGAGCATTATTGAAGACACCTGATGTTAACAGTCACCGCTTTTTAAGTCACCGTTATGGTGATCAGTGTGTGTTTTAGTTGGACTCTTGACCCTTAAATCATTAACTTTTAATGTTGTTTGGCTGCTGACAGCCAGATGAACAACTAGAAAAGGTGATCTGATGGTGTTGGTTGAGTTTTAACATAATCATTATTTCACAATCATTTGACCTGAATCAACTCATATTGAGTCCCATTTAGGTTTGCTTAATTAATTATAGCAGCACTGGCCTTGTTCAGCATAATATTTTTAGCCTTTTCATTGAAAACCAAATTATCAATTCAATAAAAAGAAAACGTCTCGGGTTATGACTATAACCCTTGTTCCCTGAGAAGGGAACGAGACACTGCGTCGAGAATCGACTCTTTGGGGACGCTCCCTTAGCGTGCGCCTCTGAAGTATGAATGAAACTATTCCAATCCTGATTGGTGTTGCGTCATGACGTAACATGTGACGGCATAACCGGATGCATAAAAGCTACGCCGGAACAAACACAAACTAGTCTAGCGATGAAGCAAGCCGCTCTCAGGCCTTAAGGGGCGTGGCAGAACGACGCAGTGTCTCGTTCCCTTCTCAGGGAACAAGGGTTATAGTCATAACCCGAGACGTTCCCTTTCGAGGGAACTTAACACTGCGTCGAGAATCGACTCTTTGGGGAACGAGTGCCCACTAGGCCACGCACCGAACAGGCCTGTCCCGGAGTGAACCAGGCGTACTAGGAAGGTGAAGACTGTAGAACCTAATAAAAGTATGTGGAGTAGCCCAACCGGCTGCTCACAGATCTCCTGTAGGGGTACTCCCGAAAGAAGGGCCCTAGAGGAAGCCATGCCTCTAGTTGAATGAGCCCTCACGGCTAAAGGTGAAGGCAAGTTGCGCACCTTGTAAGCCTCAGTAATAGCTTGAACAATCCAATTACTAATAGTCTGCTTGGATGCCGGGAGCCCCTTCTTAGGTGACCCAAAACATACTAATAATTGGTCCGACCTTCTCCAAGAAGAGGACCTCTCAAGGTACACGCTCAAAGCTCTGACGGGGCAGAGCAAATGAAGCTTCTCTTCTTCTGCCGACACATGAGGTGGAGGATGGAATGCCTGAAGGACTGTAGACCGAGCCGTACTAGATGGAACTTTAGGCACATAGCCCGGACTCGGGTGCAAAAAAGCTTTTACTCTGCCAGGGGCAAACTCCAAGCAAGCTGGTGTCACTGCCAGGGCTTGGAGATCTCCCACCCTCTTAAGTGAGGTAATAGCCAAGAGAAATACCACTTTTAGCGTCAAGTCCTTAGGCGAAGCCGACTGCAAAGGTTCGAAGGGGGCCAGGGATAACCCTTCAAGAACTATTGCCAGGTCCCAGGTAGGAACCCTGGACCTGGTTGTCGGTCTCATCCTCCGAGTACCACGGAGAAACCGAATGACCAACTGGTGCCTCCCCAGAGGCCCCTCACTCAATGGTGCATGGAAAGCCGCAATGGCAGCCACGTACACCTTAAGTGTGGAAGGGGAGAGACCCGCAGAGAAACGATTTTGAAGAAACTCCAGAACTGAAGCCACTGGGCAGTTAACTGGATCTAACTCCTGTTCTCTACACCAAGCGGAAAAAACATTCCACTTGAGGCCATATAATCTCCTAGTAGATGGAGCCCTAGAACTAAGTATGGTTTCAACCACTCCGGCTGATAGACCAGCATCTAGGTACTGAACCCCCTCAGAGGCCAGACCCACAGCTTCCACAGCTCTGGGTGAGGGTGGAAGACTGTGCCCTCCGCTTGAGACAACAGATCCCTCCTCAGAGGAATCTGCCATGGCGGAGCTATCAGGAGTGATATTATGTCTGAAAACCATACTCGGGTCGGCCACCTTGGGGCAACCAGAAGTAAACTGATGCCCTCCTGACGGACCCTCTCCAGGAC